TCATCTCATGATTAATACACTTAATACACTATATTCCCCATAATGTAACAGAAACATTATTTGAAGAAATGTTAACCTCACTGATTTTTTTAAAACATTATCCTAAATTTACTTTTATTTATTTATTTTATTTTATTTATGTGAGACAGGGTTTCTCTGTGTGCTGTGGTTGTCCTGGAACTTATTTTGTAGATCAGACTGGCGTCAAAGTCAAGAGATCCTCCTGCCTCTGCCTCCCAAGTGCTGGGACTAAAGGTGTGCACCACCACTGGTTTTACTTCTTTTCTTACTGCTATTTCACAAATCAAGTTTCAATTAAAGCTGACATCTCCTCTTGAGATTCTGGAGCAATGCAGAATGTGTTTTCACTTAAGTTAACAATCTTTAGTCTCATAAATGTAGCCATCTCTGTTTCAAACCCAGGGCATAGTGGTGTCCATGTTTACCAGATAAACCTAATCATATCAAATTAAGAAAGTGCAGTTACTATCAGTTAATGACTATTCCAAGAATGTTTGTGGATCCTGAAGGAAACAGGGATATAAACACTAAAGGTAGCAAGAGGCATTTTGCTATTTTACTATGGTTCATCTAAGAGTTCCTTGTATACATTTCTTTAAGAACTTTGCAGGAGGCCAGGCATGTTATCACATGTCTTTAATCCCAGCACTTGGAAGGTAGAGGCAGATTAATTTCTTTAAGTTCTAGGCCAGCTTGTTCTACAGAGTTCTAGCATAGCCAGAGCTATACAGACCCTGTCTCAACACCCGGACACTCTCCCAAAAATTTTTTTTCAGGAGGAGTTGAGCACTTGTTTAGCATATAGTAGGCCCTGGGTTCAAGACCCAGTACTGGGAGGGGAAAAAAAGATTTTCTAGGCAAAAATAAAGGAAATCCTAAAATCCTATTAACAATCATCATTGATACTCTTTATCACTGCTGAAATTAAAACAGATAATAAAATCTATGAAGCATATGTAATGCTCAAACTAAAACATTAGAAGCTTTACAGTCAAAATTCCATTTAAAAAATAGATTGAGGAGGTGATCCAAAGGACATTAGCCCTTACTTGGAAGCTATCAGCAGTTGATATTTGCTGGAAGACTGTTAACGTAGAGGCTTCCTCTGAGAGTAAAACCTCCCATTTTGGAAAGAAGTTTCTTAAGAAATAGGATGTTAAATAGGGGAATGAAACATTCCATCCTACAGGAAATAAACAAGCCTTTAAGGCAGGAAGTAAACAAGTTGGTATCTTCAGGAAGTCCCCCAAACTGACCAGATTCACTAGACTGCTCTCTCCCTGAGTATAAGTAAGCAATAAGAACTGAGAGACTTGCTCAGACAAGCCAAGCTGCCTGGAAGAATCAGAGACAGACTAAACCACCTGGAAAGGATACTCCCAACCTGCTACATGGCCTATACTCCAGTTTTCCAGCTTCCATGATCTGTCACCCATGCTAGGTTGGCTTGGTGATACAGCTGTCTTTGAGTCATTTCTGTTCCTGTAAGTTGCCCCAATCAAATTCACCAAGTTGGATTCTGGTGGCATCTGTACTTTAGTGTATCAACAGTTCCCTATCTCGGATGAGTAGACATTTATTTATATCTCCCTAGGTATAGTGTCACACACAGCGAGGAAGAATAATTTTTTTAGGGTATTGCCCTGGTAGGTTTTCTCTACTCTAGTGAATAGCCCCAAACCCATGTACAATTGGACAGCATTAACTGAATTACCAAAAGTTGGAGAGTCAAGAAATTTGGAGGGAGAAGGAGGGAATAAGAAAGGAGAAACAGAGGGTATATATATTCATATTTCATTGTATACATTTGTGAAATTCTCAAAAATAAAGATAAAATGTATTAAAAATGTGAGAATCTTTGAATACAGCATCCACTAAGTTCCCAGTCCATACTATCAATTGACTTCCAAATCCATCTGTGTGAATGTCCAAAACCTTTTTCTCTTTTGCAAACATATGCTACTATTCTAAACTGGTGAGTAATACCCTCCATCCATTTAGACATCAAAAATTATAAGAGTTGTTATACTATTAACAATAACCACCATTAAGAAATAGCTTTTTTGCATTAAAGATCATTTCAGCTATATCATTTGTATTATACCCAATCCCACCCTCGAAAAACTCAAAATAGATATTATTCTAAAGAACGATGAAGCCAAGAATTCTATTTAATTGCACTATGGCTTTCACTAACTAATTTGTGCACTAAACATAGTTTCCACCTTGACTTTTGGTGAGCCAACAGTACTGTCTGGCATAGTGGGATGCTTCTGATTTTTAAACTATTTTCAATAAACTGTATTAGCTACACCTGTTTGCCAAGATCAGCGACACGTACTTAAAGATGAGTAGTGAAAAAGGTATGTACTTCAGGCTGTCTACACTTAGTCAACATTCTTTGTTCTCACAGACTGATTTGTTCAAGTTGCATTTCCTCTGGGAATCTATTATTCAAGTGGCTACTTCATCTATTAAAACAATATGCTTAAACAGCAGGGGAGATGGTGGATCATCATTACTTAACAGTTTCTCTAAGAGTGCATGGACAGGATACTCCCAAGCTCTGTTTCAATGAGATAGCAGAAAGGGCACATTAACTGAGCACCAGCCAGGCAAGGAACTACTCAGCAGGACTACAAGAACATCTTATAAGAATGACCTTGTGGGCCCAGTGTGGTGGTGCCCAGCTCCACAGCTGGAGGCAGGGTCATTGAGAGTTTGATGGCCCCTTAGTCTACATAGGGGAACAAAGGCCAGACTGGGATAAACAGAGCGCCTCTGTCTCAAAAACAATTCCCTTTTCTAGAATCTTACAACCTTTACTTATGACTTAAACAAATATTAGCATTCTAGCAAAGAGGATCAAAATTATCTTCACAGAACATTAAAATGATCAGAAGTAAGAAAATGGTTATCAAATATATAGTAGAATGAGTTGTAGCTAAAAAGTACTAAAGAACGCAGATATTTTAAGGGAAAGGAGTTGTTTTTTTTTTTTTTTTTTTTAATACAATAGGTAGGGACTGAAGAGATGGTTCGGGCTCTGTGCTTAAGAGCACTTTCTGTTCTTGCAGAGGACCCAGTTCCCAGCACCCATGACTTCTCATAGGTATCTGTGACTCCATTTCCACAGGATCTGAAGCTCTCTCTAGCCTCCTCAGGTAGTAGACATATATGTGGAATACTTCCAAAGAAACTCTTTAAGCCTGCTTTATACACCTGTATTACTCATTTGTGGGAAGCTTTCTGAAACATTTCACAAGATATATTAGTAAGTAATTCAGGTAACACAGGGAGCTCAGCAGAACAGAAAAACACAGAAAGCTGTCTCTGCCATCTGTGGAAAGGTTAGCCATAATTAAGTGTGCTGTGAGAAGCAGACAGAAACACCACATAGGAGGGATTCTATAGGAATTAAAGTGCTGTGGGCACAGGGGAATAAGACCTAAGAAAGTCCAACAACATTATGAAAAATGGTTATTCATGACATCCTGAAAGGCAGCACAAAGGATCTATGCCAAAGAAGAAATTCCTCACGAAACCAATAAATGCACATTCCAGCTTTTTCCCTTAAGCAATCATTGGGGATAGAATTATTCATAGAAGAATTGATTGAGAATCTGGGAACAGAGCTTAGCTGGTAGAGTGCTTGCCTAGCAAACACACAGCTCTAAGTTATATCCTTAGCACCCCATAAACCAGGTGTGGTGGCACATGCCTGTGATCCCAGAAAGTGGAGGCAGGAGAGTTCTATGCCCTCCTCACATTCTGAGGCGATCAGGCATGCATGTGGTGCACACACTACATATAGGCAAAATATATGCATAAAATAGAATAAATGAATTTCTTTAAAAATGTAAAAGCAGATAAATGACAAGAAGTATATGAATATGCATTCAACAGTACTAATCATCAATGAAATGCAAATTAAACCCACAGTCAACTATCACTTGACCTCTGTGAAAATGGATATTCTTGAAATGATGAGAGACATTTTGTCTGGGGCATGAATGATAAACAAATTACCCAATGATGGGAACAAGGGAAATTAATACAGTCAGTATAGAGAACAATGTGGAGGTTCCTCAAAAAATTAAAACAAAGCATCTGTCAAATTCACTGCTGAGTATGGATCCAAAGAAAATGACATCAGTTTGTCAAACAGGTATCATTGTAAGTCTGTCAAACAGATTCACAATACACAAGACACAGAATCAAACTCAATGTCTATAATAAATGAATTAATGAAGATACACAATAGGATACTACTTGGCCTTAAAGAAGGAGGGTATACTGTAACTGTAAAACCCTGAATGACCATGGAGGACAATGTATTAAGTGAAACAGACCAACATAGAAAGGCAAGTACTATGTAGAATCTCACCACTGTGTGTGATCTCAAATGGTCAAACTCAGTGCAAACAGCAGAAGTTACCAGGGGCTAGAAGACTTGGTGCAAGATTAGGAGATGCTTGTCAAATAATGCAGGATTTCATAAGGAGCCCTAGAGACCTGCTGTGTAACTACAGCTAATGAAAACATTTTTTTTAATTATTTACTTACATACTTAAGTTTTACACATGAATGTGTATATGAACATGAATGCAGTTGTTCTATCCAAAGACGCCAGACAGAGTGTTGAATCCCCAGAAACTGAAGTTGTGAGCTCCCAAAGTGGGTCCTAGGACCTGAAACCACTAAGCCAGCTCTCCATTCTCTAACATATTATATTCTTGAAATTGCTAAGAGGCTGGTTTCAGTGTTCTTGTCAAAAATAACATAATATATAATTTAGTTAGCTTGAATAATTGCCAAATATAATCGATAATGTACACATGAATTCACTCAATTTAACAATTTCCTGTTTTATACATGTTCTGTATGATAAAATAATACAACTCATGTCAATTACAAAATTTTTAAAAAATTACAAAAAGATAAAATACAAATAGTATTTAAAATAAAAGTTTACATACCTTGGCTTCCGGAATGCCAAACTGTATTGCTGGCATGCAAGACCCACAGTGGGAGTATAAACGATAGGCATAAATTTTTCAATATCAGACATCAGCACACTATAAAAGAGTTTTTCATTTCTATCTTGCAGATCCATCAACAGAAGATATCTGTGGAAATTAGATGCAATTAGATATTCATCCAACAGTCAAACTCCATAATAAAAATGGCTATTAAGAATCTAATTTCAACCAAGTATAAAGTACATCAGTCAAGTACAAAGCACAAATAATCAAGCCAGGCATGGTGGCACACATCTCTAATCCTAATACTTGGGGAACTCAAGCAGGATTGAATAGGAGGACAGCTTTAGTTACACACTGAGGCCCAGTATTAAAAGAACAATGGCAATAAGTTTTAGAAATAGACTTTAAGAGGCTGGGAGACAGCTCAGTAGGGAAACTTTCCAGGTGCAAACATGAGGACCTGAGTTTGGACCTCTGACATCAATTCAAAACCTGGGCTCAGTGGTCCATATCTGTAATCCAGTGCTGGGGTTGCAAACAAGGAAGTTACAATCAGTGTGCTCCAGGTTCAGTGAGAGACTCTGTCTCCAAAACCAAGCTGAAAGACTAGAAAGATATCCAACATCAATCCCTGACCTCTACAAGTACAACCATGTGCACGCACACAGGCACAAATGTATACATACCCAAAAAAATGAAATATGTCAAAGAATGAGGAAACACAAACTGGATTACTACCATTCAAATATTACTATTATATAACATTACTACAATTTTGTTCAGTAGTCCCTATTTTATAAAGAGTAGAGTTTAACCACTAACTAATGGTCTTTTTTTTTTTTTCCTCTCTCCCTTCTTTCATTCCTTCCTTTTGTTTTTTGAGACAGTATCACTGTGCAGTCCTGGATGACTAGAACTCACTGTATAGACTAGACTGACATAGAACTTAAGAGAGATCCACTTGCCTCTGCCTATTAAGTGCTGGGATTACATAAATGCATTGCCACATCCAGCTTTTAATGTCCTTTCTCGTGTAGAATCATTTCTTGCCTAGTTATCTTTCTACGCATAACCCTTTTTTGTATTACTAAAGTCTTGAAAAACTGTGTTCAGTAACATAATGAGGCCCTTTGCACTGATCTCTGGTGTAGGTTAGAGATCACTTAAGTGTGCTATTGTGTGCAGAAAGATCTGTCTCCAATGTGCCGCCACCTGGAACAGGACCAGGAAATTCAAGAGGTGACATTAGCAGAAGGAAGGTCATTGGGAAAACTGTCCTCAGAAGGGACTAAAATAGTTCCCATGAGTGTTTCTTTCAAAGGAACCTTCTAGATGAGATAGCCATCCCTTCCAGCCATCACATCCCCGCCTGCCATAGGGTGGAAACCCAGACCCTGTAGGAACCACTACCAAGGCCCAAACTGTCCAGGACTGAAAGTCTGCATCACCCCACCAGAAGGAGGCAGTAAGAAACATCAATAACAACCAATGATCACTTTCAGAAATAAGGACAGAAATGTTCTTGCCTATTTCTTCCTTCTTTTGTTAAGAATATTCATGCTTGCTGGGCAGTGGTGGCCCACGCCTTTAATCCCAGCACTCAGGGGGCAGAGGCAGGCAGATCTCTGTGAGTTAGAGACCTGGTCTACAGAGTGAGTTCCAGGACAGGTTTCAAAGCTACAGAGAAACCTTGTCTCGAAAAAACAAAAAACAAAAAGAAAAAAGAAAAAGAGTGTTCATGCTTACACATAAATAGATAATATTTATTAAGTAAATATGGGCATGTATAATTTTCTCATAGAAAAATTATCTTGAGAAAGGTAAATTGATAATAAATTATAAAACTATTTCATTCAAATGATCCTAGAGAGAGCAAATGTTTTAAAAACTTGCAAACAAATTCTCCTCAAAGTTAATTACCCATTCCAAACCATGCAATAGCTCACCTTTCTTTTACAAAACAATGGGGAAGAGTGTTGTAAGAGAACTGTGTTCATAAGTGTGTTACCTGTCGAAGTCAGAGTTCAGGCGCTCGAAATTCTTAACTACTCTAAGGATCTGGATCTCCTGACTGATGAAACTAGGCGGCAACAACCCATGAATGTTCAGCTGTTGCCTCTCTTCCAGAGTAAATGCCAAGTCCTAGAAAACAAAGGAAAATAATGATTTTCAGAGGAGAAAAAGATAAATAGCACACAGGTACACAGACTCTGGGGAGGGGAGGGTCTAGCATGGCTGGAAGCACAGCCAGTCAACTGTGCATTAACCATCTGCTTCCTTATCTATGGCATCGAAGATGAGAGTGGAGAATGGACGGACAGGAGGAAACTACCGACAAGCACAAAAAAGGAGAGGCCTGGTAGACAGAGCGCTCACCCAGTACAGTGTCTACTGTGCAAACATGAGGAACTGAGCTGTGAGGCCCAGCACTCATGTAAAAGCCTGGCCTGGTGGCACATGTCTGTAACCAGGGCATTAGGGGAGGGGAGATAGGTAGGCCTCCAGCTAGTCAGCCAATCAGTGAGCTCTCTATGTCAGTGAGAGACCCTGTGTCAAAAAATAAGGTTGGAAGTGGTCAAGAAAGACATCTGGTTATCTCTAGTCTCCACATTTGCATGTGCACCCATGAGCATGAAAATCCACAGACACAGACACACATGTACATACAGCTTATACACCATACACTTGTACACACACAAAAAAACCTGAAAGATAAATCATTAATGTCAGAAAATATAAAGTGAATAGTTATCTATTTTTAAATGTGACTAGAAGTAGGTCAGCTAACACCTGTTGTGCTTCCAGCTGTGAACTAGGTCAGGAAATAAAGTGCACAATTCTCAGGGACCTGATCCAACCCTCCATCTCAGCTTATATCCTACTATCCTTATGCAAGCCTGGTTACACCGATTTCTTCCCAAGCCCAAATGTTGCACATTTTTATTCTTGCATTCATGGCATCTTTATCAGGAATGTTCTTGGCACCTGGCACCATCCATGCACTTCAGACATAAGATCTGGTAGACTCAAGTTGGATCTGGTTTGAAAGCCTCCTACCTGAGGACTGGCTTTTATAGTATTGGAAGGCATTACACAAGCTTCCAAAAGAGACATCAACAGTCCTACCTAGGTGTAACGAACATAACAGTGACCAAGATATCTCTAAGGGTATAATAGTGGCATACAAACCTTGTTAGTAACCAAAAGCTCTGTAACTGGATTTAAGGCCCACTTAACTAAGGGAAATCATTCCTGATACAATTCAAGACAACTACCCAGAGCTAGTAAGGTCATGGATCTTCTAGAACCTACAACTGCCACTTTACTAAAAACATAGTTACTTCCTAATTGCATATATTCTTTACTAAATATTTATCCTTCTACCCACAGCTCCATGTAGTTCTTACCAGCTATCAGACACTTTGCTTTATAACAGGTGCGGACCATTAGAGAAACCAGTCAAAATGCAGACAACAAGTGATCACAGAGTGCTCAGGCCCAATTGATGCATCTATAACCCAACTCCTGCACCTCAGGTTCAGAGAACATCATGGGAAATGGGGAGGGAAGACGGGAAGAGACAGGGGACCAGGAAACATGCTGTGAGATTTTTGTCTCCTAAAATGACAAGGAAGTTTCATTCATGACTCCCCAACTACCATGTGGCTGTCTAGACAAGACATGAAGAAGTATAGCACCCATAAACGTGCTAATATAGAAGGGGAGGAAAATCTCACATGGCTCCACCCATAAACAAAGAACTACAGGTTCCTAAGGGATGAGCCCAACTGGTTATCCTACACTAAATGGTCAGCCCTGAAATCATATAGATATGGACTGAGCAGGGTGTGTGTGTGTGTGTGTGTGTGTGTGTAGTGCAGAAGAGACAAGGCACACAATTTAAAAAGAGGTCAAGATTTTGAGAGGGAATGAGAGAGGGATAAGAGGGGAAATTTTATGTAATTATATTCTAACTTTTAGAAAAAGTCCTTCTGGCCGGGCAGTGGCACACACCTTTAATCCTAGCACTCATAAGCCAGAAGCAGGTGGATCTTGAGTCCAAGGCAGGCCTGGTCTACAAAGCAAGTTTCAGGACAGGTAGGACTATTACAAAGAGAAACCTTGTAATGGGAAAAGAAAAAACAAAACAAAACAAAACAAACAAACAAAAAGTCCTTTTTACCCGCTTCTCCTTTCTAGACTGACCCCAAGTGCTTGATCCTCTCTAAAGTGTTTGCAGACTCATCAACTGTTACTATTCCCATGTCAAATTATCTGTTTACATAAACATATGTACTATAAACAACAGTAATTGTAAAAGGCTATAGAACAGCAAATAAAATAGAAATAAGGAGTTGATACAAAATGTACCTAAAAGATTTACTGGCGTATACTACGGGAGGCCAGAGCAGAGGCCCAGCAGTGGTTAAGGAAAATGATCTGGCAGACTGGGATGAGGAATCCTCTCCAGAAGAGTCCTGTGCAGATACTGAACCTCAGAGGCTTCTATTCCAGTACTGAACTGCTGTTTCTTTGGGCCCTTTATTAAGTGCTGACATGGCATGATGGATGGTTGGCTGTCTGACCTTATGAACAGGATTAGACTAGGATAAAAGAAACCTCAGAGAACCTGTGTGCCCTTCTGCCATGTGAGGACACAAGATGGCTATCTGTGTAGCAGAAACTAGATCCCCCACCAGATACTGACTATACTGTGTTGACTTAGGGATTCTAAGCCTTCAGAAATGCAAGAATACATACCTTGTATTTTAAACACCCAGTCCACGGTATTTTACCACTGCAGCCAAAAAGAGACTAACTAAGGTTTGTACCTTGTGATGCTACTGTTTCTTGACAGTCCAGATGGACAGGAACACATAGACTGAATACACAAATGGTTCTGTAGCCATTCCCTCTGTTTGTACAATAAGGAATAATGACTGAATGTTCATACAATTAGAAACAATGACTCTTGAATCCTGCCATAATAAAAACTCAATAATAAAAACAGGACATTTTATATATTTAATTTTAGAAACACTAACATTTTGTTTTGGTTTGCTTTGCTTTTTCGAGACAGGCTTCTCTATAGCTTTGGGCCTGTCTTGGAACCAGCTCTATAGACCAGGCTGGCCTCGAACTCACAGAGATCCACCTGCCTCTGCCTCCCAAGTACTGGAATTAAAGGAGTGGGCCACCACTGCCCAGGTAACACTAATGTTTTTGAGAACTTTGAAATTCTGTTTGGAAAACTAATGAGAATATTCAGTCTGATAAAATTACTTTTAAACTTAAAGCATTCAGAAAGGGACATTTGTGCAAGAATCATCTGTAAGAGGAAGACAATTCAACAGATTTTTCAATTGCATATTTTCACATATATATGTATTATATATGTATATGTGAATATATATGAAGTATATATTCATATATGTGTGAATTATATATTTCATATGTGTGAGCATATATATTTTATATATGTATAAAATATATATCTATATATTACATATATATGAAACAAGAGAAACTGGGATTTTTTTTCAAAATAGAAAAAGGAAGGAAAGGAGGAGAAAAGAAAAAGATGTTAGGCAAAAATCATCTCAAATAATACAAAGAGAAACAGTGAAGCGCTGAATTTTGCACCCTGTGACAATGTGCCTGCAAAAATACCAACCAAAATACTGTATTCTGCGAACACAGCTTGTGGTCAGAGGTACTAACATACACCCCTTCCCTCAAGTAACAGTGGCACGTAGCTGTCTTTCCTCAGGCAGTTTGCCGGGCCTTTTACTTATGTTTCCCCCATCTGGTCTGATGGAACAGGATACCATACACCATGTAAATGAGCATACCATCTGGAAATCTCCCCATAGTCTTTGATGTTTTCTAATTGCAGACTCCTATACCATTCACCAAATATTCACAGACACACTCATCTGTTTTAAAAAGATTAGGTCTTAGAAATCTGAGGTCGAGTTAAAAAGGGGAAAAAGTCCAGTTATTGAGTTCATATCATTTCAAGGCCCTTTAGGGAGTGGGGGGGGGGAGGGGGGAATAAGTGACTAAGGAAACTAAACTCTTAGAATCCCTGAAACTTTAGGATAATACATGATTTTATTTAACCATATTACTAGAGCATCGTTTTTGGACAATTTTACAGAAACTGATAAACAAGTCAGCCATGTCCAGAACCTGGCAGTGAAGTGTTTCAAAGCAGTTATACATTCATGTTACCCCAAATGGCCTGCACAACAAACACTGGCCTTGAGGGCACAGACAGGGTCTCACTTGCTTCTGACTTCAGTCGAATTTGTCATGGAGATGAGAAGGTTAATGTCCATACACTGATCAGGTTTCCAGGCCACCTGCAATGCTCACCCTCTCAGAGGGCCCTCACACTCTATGTCCAATCTGAGTTTCTCTCCTTTTTCTTTTCCTTATGCCTTCAAGACTTTTGCACTCCACCACTGGACAGCAGAAGGACATTCTGTTTCACTGCAAAGAGCAGCAAACAAAATAACTCTTCTTCTGGATTCCAAATAGCTTCCTGAGAAAACAAGCCTTTTATGCAGAAACCAGAAGTAAATTGCTAGCATCAGAAGTCTACATGCAAACAACCACCGTGGAAGGGATTTGTTGATTCACCAGAAACTTATCAGAAGAAACTTATCAGAAAGCAATTGCATTTTATCTTCTTCAATGACAGTTTTTAATGTTCCCATAGAACTTCTGTGGGTTGGATTCACTTGTTTCAGAATTATAACTAAAACTAAGCCAAGCTGAATTGCAAAAATTGTAACTCACAAAAAATCTTGAGACAGATAACCTACATAGGATGGTAACTGACAAGAGGACTCAATGTGTTTAAGACAACTGAATGAGAGGGCATAAATAGTTATGTTTGCTTATCTAGTGTCTAGAATACCTCTTGACAATTTACAGGTAATACACAAACTGTGAATTAACTCAACCATTTTCTGTAACTAGAAATATTTCAAGTCACAAAAGCAAGTGAAAGGTAACAACCACAAAAAGGAAGAAAGGGAAGAAAGAAAGAAGAAAGAAAGAAAAGAAACAAATAACCTAAAAGTATTCCAAGTGTTCAACAGAGAAGACAGGAAGGTGCCTCTATACCCTGCAGT